GAGTTATTGATGTGCAAATCTTCTACTACTATATTATGTGCACTCACAGTGCATTCAATTTTTATGATTCAATACACTAAAAATGAATACACGTGATCGATTTATTCTTTCGGTTAATCAAGAAACCGTAAATAATCAAAATATTTTTTTAGTTATATTATAAAATATATTTAATCTCTTAGCATTATATATATATGTGCAAAATAAATATAACAAAATATATTAAAATATTATTTCGATCTTTTTTTTTAATGTATGTTGTGCGGTAGTTTTATTGTGGGGCTTCGTGATAATGCGTAGCGTGTTATTTTATAAAGTACACCGTGTAGATATATAAAGTGCACATTTGTGTACGGCGGAATGCTCGTGTTTTTTGTGTACGAATGATTTGGTGGATGTTAAATTATATTATGTAGATATATTTTTCTTAAGGAAAATGGAACCTTCTTGCTTAAGACCATGACAAAGAGTACTTCTAAGTTTGCAAATGAGATGTTTGAAAATAAGAAGAAACTCTTGTCAAAAAATAGATTGTTGGCATCGAGAACACCCAACGAAAGGCGTGTAACATGATGCATGTTGGAAGATGGCGTGAACAATTGTATCCAAGTTGTGAATATCAAAAGAAATTATTATTTAGTAATTAATTTTCAGTAAAGATTGAGAAATACGTCTAGAGGGAGAACCTGAAGATAAAAGAGAATTCCAAGAAATTAGATTTATCTAAAAATCAAAAGAAAGCAAAATGTCTACTTGAACATGATGGAGCATGAAGATTCTTTAAAAAAAAAAGGAAATAACAAGGACATAGTCATTCGATTAAGACGCGAGAGATAATAGTCATGTGAAAGATAAAAGTTGGGACAATCATTAATGAAAACGAACCTAGAAACATGCGATACATGGAGTTTCCACTCAACTATCATCGGTGGAGCAATAATAGCGAAGCCCCAATCTCTATAATACAAGATTTAGATAAAGCAGAACACATTGAACATTCCTTTCAGTTTTACATTATACAAAATAAAATTTGTGGGTTGTATAATCTTTGTTTTCAGGTTGTGAGTTGTGAGTGAAATAATTGTATCGTTTTCTTTTTGCAAATTTATGTGTACATGTGTTTGCCTCCATTATGAGATGCTAAAATGTTTTTCTCCCCTTAAATGAGATTACTTATGTAATAAATTCTCTTTGAATTCTTAATAAAAAAAAAAAATAGGTTTTTGTTTCACAACAATTGTCATGATTTTCATTTATCTCTATAATTTAGTCCCTATACGCATGAAATTGAAAATAAACCAAGGCTGTTTTGAGTGGTATTTGGATAAGTTGTAGTTTATCTTTCTGGCTCTGTCGAAATTGAAAGGTGATGTGTCGTTTGCAAAACGAACTAGGGGTAGTAATTTTCCAACGGGTGGTTTTGCAATCCATCTCACTCGGAACCATTTTGTCAAAGACAGATACAAAATTATGAAGTTATTTAATTTTTTAGAAGCATTAGTTAATCTATTTTGAGTACTCTTTAGAATGAACTTATGTATTAAGAGACTAGGTATTGCTTATATATAAATAAGACACTATACTTATAGAAGATTTATGATATTCATTACATAAGTGGTACTACGATTTCTGAACCAAAATGAGTAAGAGTATTTTCAAAATAATAATCGGGGTTAATTGATTTTATCTCTATGATTAAAATCATTCTTTTTTTTTTTTTCAAAAATAAAAATCGAATAGTATTAATTCTCTCCATGTCATTATTAATGTCATTATTATACTGAATTCTTCATAATTAAACGTGACCACAATTTTCTTGGTGTCATTGTTTTACTTGAGAGTTAGCACACAAGATTGACTAAAATGTTGTCATATAATTATAATTATGTTCACACGTAATTTACGCCAACTTATTAATATAATACTATCAGTGTCACTAATAAGACTTATAAAGAAGCTTCTTAAATTCCTTCTGTAATATCGTCTTGAAAATGTTTCAGCTCCCATCTATATATATATATATATAATTACTAGCCAATATTATTTAATAAAACCTAAATAATTTTACATATGTGGCAATTTAATATTTTTCCCTTCAAAAATCGTTACTCTTTTATGTATTTAATCTTTTATTTAATTATTAAATAATCAATACTAATCACTTCAAAATTACAAAAATCATTTTAAACTTTTTATTAGTGACAGTTAACCATATAATGTTTTGATCGTATAATATGATTAGATTGTGGTTACATTTAAATTATTATTTTTAAAAAAATTAAAAACGTATTTGAAATTCCTAAATAAATGATAAATAATTCAATAAAAAAGACGTACAAAATATATATTACATCCAATCAGATAAACGCATTTTTTTTTTAAAAAGTAAATATTCCAACTTCTTTATTTGTAAATGTTGACATGCAAAAAAGTGAAAGAAAAATAATTAATCATTATATGCATACAAATAACTCACAATACTTCACAATACTTTATTTACATCTGTGCAAATGCACAGGGTCGAATACTAGTTTTATCTAAAGTTGGTGTCGCATTTTAGTTTCACTCTTTCAAGTGTAAAAATAGATTACATAGTAATGTAGTGTTTAAATTTCGTACCGGCTGGTAATACCGGCCCCTCACAATATATAAAAGCAGAGTTTTTCGAGGTCGATTTTCTGTGTTTCATAATCATATGTAACAATTTTTGATGTTTCGTGATTCTAATTGCCAAACTATGTTGGTTTGGAGTAATTAATCAATGTAGATTTGGAACTTTATCGATGATTTTCAAAATTCAAAATACTTTATCAACTTAAATTATAAATAAGTTTAAAATTTTAGTAACTTTTTTATTTGTTATTATTTTTTCATATATAGATATGTTCAAATTACTCTTTTTTATATGATATTCAAATTCATATCCATATTGCATACCTAAAAAAATATATCTATTCTTATAAATATAAATATAAATTAAATACATAATGCAAGCTTTAAAGGTAATTAAAAATCTAAAAATAAACCTTTAGTACTTTTTTTTTTCAATCAACATTCGTGTATTTATTACACGAACATCGTACAACTACTCGTATCATTACATTTGTTAGTTCGGTAGTACCACATATATCACTTATGTATATCATAAAACACATTCTTATTGTACCAAAACTTATAGTCGACTTCGACTGGTTGGATAATTTTGTTACACTTTTTAAAAATTTAACCCGACTCATCTCTTCTCAATATTATCAAGATAATTAAATAATATCAATGTATTATCGTCCCACACCATATCAAATTTAATTCAATATTCACCTACTCGTATATTTTTTTTTTAACTACATACATCATTTCAATAACTAATTATCTCCTACTTTAATATCACATCAATTTTAACCATTACATTTTAAATCTTATTCAACACATATTCAAAAATCCCACTTAATAATCCTTCACTCAATAACCTTTATTAAATTTAATTTAATCAATAAATCTAAATAAAACTGATCTTATTGTCCAAATATATATATTCACTACAATACTACACAGGCTGGAGCGCAATATCCAAAAGCTGTACACAGTTAAAAGAAAAATTTTATGATTAATTTTTGGGCGACAAAGAGTAAAATGTAAGAACTGAAGAATAACGACTTTTTTTTCCCTCCTTTTTTCTTTTTCATTTTCAATTTTATTTTCTTGCTTTTTTCTTTGTCCTTTTTGCCCTACTACACAACTTTTCCTTGTATTAAAAAACATCAGTTTTGCTATGAAGTCATCGGATGACACGATTTATGGAGCCATCCAACTTATTCGTAAATAATATATTGACACGTGTCTTACAATAAACACATTTTGGAAATGTGTCAATATACATTAAGTGATGAATGAATACATAAGAAAATCATCCGATGGCTCCACGTAATTTCTGTAGAAAACATTTGGTGGGCAACCATAGATCGAGTTGATGATTCAACAGAAGAAACAAAACACATATATGCACAGAGAGAGAGAGAGAGAGAGAGAGACAGAGAGAGAGAGAGAGAGAGAGAGAGAGATCCAATGCTATGAACACCAAGTGTATGTGAAAAATGGGCAGAGAACTCATTGTGGCAGTGCCAAGTTCTTCCTCTCAAGTCCATATTCTTTTGCTATATCTCATCACATAAGCTCACAGAGAGTCTTTCTTCTTGTTTTTTGCTATGGACAAGCATCATCATCAACAGCAGCTGCCCCCACAAAAGACTGCTTCTCAACGCTGCAGCGAATGGTTAGTTCGTCGTATCCGTTTATGAGTTTTAAGTATCGACTACACGATCATGATGATTGTTCAAACAACTAACATGGCTTATGTAAAAGATCATAAGTTATAATTTGGATGTCTTGAACTGCTGTGATCTGTTTTCCGGTGGCTTGTGATCGTAAGAGATGTATACATTTGGCACAGTTGTTGGTATTCTTGTAACATCAACTTTGCTGTGTTTCTAAAAGGAAGTAATGATAATTAATCTCAGGTGGAGAAACAGTTTCCTTTCCGTTTCCGGGTCTTTGTTTTACTGAGAGAGAATCAGGACTAAATCTCATGTCCAAACTTCAAAACAAGTATGCTTTGTTAGCAAGTATAAAGAATCTTGATTTTTCTGTTGTGGTTTCGTTTATAGGGTCTTTCGAGATGTTCCGAGCGACATCGTGATCGAAGTAGACGGGGCGACATTTGCATTACACAAGGTCAGGCTCTGCATCTCAATAATTTCCATTTAATTCTTATTCATGGTTATTACTATGTTGGAAAAAGAGTGAAAAAAAAAAAAATGATTTTTGTCCTATGGAGGCTAAACAATTTCTGATATAAATGTTTGAGGCCTCTCAAGAGTTGAGATGTCTTGCTGATTTAAGTTTATTACACAAACCATTAATTTCAAGAATTGAGGCATTATATGTGAATCTTATGTTTATTACTAATATCCGCAGTTCCCTCTTGTCTCGCGGAGTGGCCGGATCCGGAAGCTCATCGCTGAGCACCGTGAGTCCGACGTGTCCCGTATCGAGCTGTTGGGCCTTCCAGGCGGGCTCGAGTCATTCGAGCTGGCGGCCCAATTCTGCTACGGCATCAACTTCGAGATCACAGCCTCCAACGCAGCCCGCCTCATATGCGTGTCCGACTACCTCGAGATGACCGACGACTACTCCCCCAACAACCTCGCCTCCCGGGCCGAAGAGTACCTCGACAGTGTGGTCTGCAAGAGCCTGGAAATGTGCGTCGAGGTCCTCCAATACTGCGAAAACCTTCTCCCACTAGCAGACGAGCTGCAAATAGTCTCCCGCTGCGTGGACGCCATAGCCTCCAAGGCCTGCGTGGAGCAGATTGCCTCCAGCTTCTCTCGGCTCGAGTACAGCAGC